GGAGGGCTGCATGCTATTTTTATGATATTGGTGTGTCCTGTAGCAATAAAATGACATGTGCCTCTGGTTTAGCTCTGAAGGGACACCTCAGAGGAGCAGGGCTGGCTTTTTCTGACATGTGCTGGGGTCACTATGACAGTGTGCTGGTTTCCAGCTGTGTGAAAAAACTGCATGGGTGTATTGAGTCAGCTTTCCCCCATTTGGTGCCTTTGTCAAATTAGTTACAGCCCACGGAGCTTATGGAAAAAAGAACTAGTAGAAGTACTGGCATGAGGCAGAAGTGCAATAGGCAGAAACAAGCCTTCTCCACACCGCTCTGCAAAGCAGAACAAATAAGCAATGATCAGTTTTCTGAGTCTGTTAACATTAGCATGTGAGGATGACTTCCTGTTGTTCATGTATGTCCAGGGATAGTTAACAGGAGGTAACATCTGCATTGACATAAAGGAACAATATTATACTCTTGGCCGTTTGCCAAGAAATGTGTTTTTAATTTCGTGGAGGCAACATTTCTGACCTGGAGTTTTGTATTTGGTTTCTATCATCTTAAGCATTTTGCTAACTAGCTGTTTAATTGCTACATTATCAGTTTTGATAATGAACACTTCTACTAACCCCAGAAGAGAAGAGTACTTACATAATCAGTGAGGCAGTACCTTGCCAAAGGATTTATACAAATTTCCTGTTGATTGCTGTACAGATACCCAAAGCGAATCTGTGGCTGAAAGGTTCCTGGATGAATCCAAGATTCAGGGCTATGATAAAATAGAAGAATTAGCTTGCTTACCTGATCTGTAGTTCACACACATATCTGAAGGCTGAATTTCATTGACAAGAAGTTGGCAGAGATGGCTAAGTTGTTCTATCCAGTTTTACCTGAACATGACTCCTTTGGAAATAAATAGGAGAGCAGCTATTGCCTTCAGTAATGTTGAGAGCTGTCCTCAAGTGCAGAAATTCCCATTGATGTCATTGAAAATTGAGGGCAAGGTGTAGAATTTTAGGCTGTGCCAAGAACGCATTTCTTGGCCCTTGTCCGAGCATTTGAAATCTATAGGGTTTGCATGATAGGCAGCATTAGTGAGACATTCATCTTTTTTTCCCTTCATGCATTGGACAGCTGTTTATGTAACATAGGCTGTAGAACAGGAGGAATTTCGGTTTTCATTGCTATTGGCAGTGACATTGATCTAGCCCATTAATAGGACCAGTTCAGCAAAAGCTATGCAAGAGCTCATCAGGTTCAGCTTCTGGGCCTGCTGCCTAAAACTGTACACCCTCTGTGGTCGCCACGGCTTGACAATGTGTAACAATGATATTCTACCTACCCATTATGTATAAGTTGCATGACATTGAAAGAATAAATTTAAAGCCACGAGCTCTTGCCTAGTAGGAGGCATGGGAATATTCCTGTTATGAGCATGCTTGTCACTCAGACAGAGAGAGAAGCTGCCCAGTAGTTCTTTTTTAATGCACAAAATAAATTCTCTTGGGTGGTT